ACTGGAGCCCTCTCTGGGCTAAACTCGGGGACTGGAGCCCTCTCTGGGCTAGACTCGGGGACTGGAGCCCTCTCTGGGCTAGACTCGGAGACTGGAGCCCTCTCTGGGCTAAACTAGGGGATTGGAACCCTCTCTCTATTGGACTGGGAAATGGGAGCCCACTCAGGGCTGGACAGGACCAGCGGGGACGAAGGAGAGAGGAGAGGGGGTTTCCCAGTCTATAAGGTCCTCCTCGAAGTCCAGCAGTCCCAGATGTATAATCAGCTCACCCTCAGCCGCGGTGCAGTGGGCTCCAGCAGGAGGAGGAGGTATTCAGGGCGAAGGAGGGGATCCATGGACACAACGGAAACAAAACACTGAGTAAAAACAGAAACAAAAATGGAGGGAACAGTCTGGTATTCTGTCACGTTGTGACTGTGAGGAGCATGGAGCGAGGAGACGAGGAGTAGACTTCAAACCAACAGACTTTAATTAACATTCATGGAACCAGGAACACACACGTAGCGGGGAAAGACGAAAATTCAATACCAGACAAAGGAACTCTGAATAGGACTCACTTTAAATACACAGGACTAGAGGAGGGGATGACGAGAAACACCTGGAACTAATGAAACAATTAACATGGGAGAAAACTGGGTCATGGAGCACGTAGGGTAGGAAAAACACACAGATAGAGTCCAGGGGCGTGACACCATATATACCATATAGCAAATTACTTGATTATTAATGTCATTTCAGAATGTAAATGTTATTGCCCAGTGATATATTTAAAGTTGTATATATATATACATATATCTACATCCACTTTAAAACAATATAAACTATATATCAGATTTCAACGGCTTGATTGTTCATGTTGATGCAAAATGTAATCTATATTATTGCCCAGCTGTAATCTGCTAAATGTGTCTATATGTCATTAAGATATTACAATATAATAAACATTAAAATCAGGTTTATCTGCAAAGCTGATGAAATTTTGTTTATGCAAACACAATTTACTTGACTATGTCAAAAAATGGTTGGTTTTTACACTTTTTATCATATTAACCTTGTTCTTGTGTGTTCCTCAGCTGTAAAACCAAGACGTACCCTGATGACCTTCCAAATACCAGCATTGTGATCGTGTTTCATAATGAAGCCTGGAGCACACTTCTAAGAACCATACACAGCGCCATAAACCGCTCGCCCAGACACCTGCTGCTCGAGATTCTGCTGGTGGATGATGCCAGCGAGAGAGGTCCTAATCACATCAATTCATTAAAATTTGCATGTTGAGTTATTCCTTCAGTATCACAATAACAATGGCAGAATATCTCCAGTGTCATCGTTTATGTGAATGTTGGCAACAAATTATCTCTAAAGTTTATTTAGTCCATAAATGTCATTCAGCTTCTTAGAGACCTGAGTGAGGAAACATTAAATGGGTCATGAGCTGAGAAATCAAAATTCCCTTGATCTTTTGACATATAAGAGGTCATTGCACTGTAAAAACATCCTGTAAGTTTCAGAACTCAAAACTCATTAGTCTAAAAACAGCTTATGTTGAAGCCAATCTGCCAAAATGACAGGTTGTGGAATGTGCCACTTTATGATGTAATAGTGTGGCTAAACCCCGCCTCCGCACAAGAAGATCAACACCTACATCACTACATCACTGCCTGTTTAGCTCCGCCCACTGATTCACGCATGTAGTGTAAATAACGAGAGAAGCAAATGCAGGTCTATGCAGAAACCAAAAGATAAAGATGTTCCGTAGACAACAAGACACTGTGCAGAGCCAAGCTGTGGAAAAACACAGTCTTTGCATCGCCTTCCTTCTGATCCCAACATTAGGAAAGAGTGGATGAACTTTATTTTTAATGAAGTTCCAGACCACATCAGTAAGAACTTGGTCCTTTCTTAACTTCGTTTTACCATGGATTCGTTTACAAACAAGGCACAATTCGATGCATGATTTTCAGAAAGATTGAAAATAAAAGATGATGCTGTGCCGACTATATTGGGTCCAACAGTAATGTCGCACCACACAAGTGTGAGGAACTGTTTCATGTGTTTTATTATGTGGTCACTATTGCTTTGTCTATTACTGTATGTATTAAGTATTTATGTGCTTTTAACCAAAATAACAGCAGCATCCATCTATGAAGGATGTAGGCTATCAAACATACACAACTGTTAGCCAATCATAGCAGTGGGCGTTTAGTTTCCGAGTCTACAATCAGCCACACCTATTCAAACAGAGCGTTCTGATGAGAGGGGTCAAAAAAGTACAGAAAATAGCCTATTACTTCTAAATTATGATGTTTTTTGATGTACAAATCTTGATAACATTATAAGTGTACCTCAGAGAACAGTACAAAATAATAAAGGCACTTCATGACCCCTTTAAGATGTGTGTAATATAAAGATGTTCACCATAACCTCATCTCTGTAAATGACCTCTGCTTTTATTGATTGACTGATTGCAGATTTTCTAAAGAAAAAATTTGAGGACTATGTTGCGACTCTGGAGGTTCCGGTGCAAATTTTGAGGATGGAGCAGCGATCCGGTTTGATCCGAGCACGACTAAGAGGGGCGGCCGCCACACGAGGACAGGTCATCACCTTCCTGGACGCTCACTGTGAGTGCACTGTAGGGGGGCTTGAGCCACTGCTGGCCCTGATCAAAGAGGACAGGTGAGTGTGCTTGACTGTGTACAGACAATCTATTCCTGAGCCCCAAACTTGACATTTTATAGACTTGAGAATGTTATATTTGCTATACCTTTTCTCATGCTTTTTGCCATAAGAGAAACTAAATATAGTACTTAGCAAAATATGTTTACAATAAACTTCAGTCAGACAGCAGAGAATGTACTGTAGAGCAGGGGTTTTCAACCTTTTAGGACATGCGCCCCCCCAAGTTGGTCTTCACCATAACCTCATCTCTGTAAATGACCTCTGCTTTTATTGATTGATTGATTGCAGATTTTCTAAAGAAAAAATTAGAGGACTATGTTGCGACTCTGGAGGTTCCGGTGCGAATTTTGAGGATGGAGCAGCGATCCGGTTTGATCCGAGCACGACTAAGAGGGGCGGCCGCCACACGAGGACAGGTCATCACCTTCCTGGACGCTCACTGTGAGTGCACTGTAGGGTGGCTTGAGCCACTGCTGGCCCTGATCAAAGAGGACAGGTGAGTGTGCTTGACTGTGTACAGACAATCTATTCCTGAGCCCCAAACTTGACATTTTATAGACTTGAGAATGTTATATTTGCTATACCTTTTCTCATGCTTTTTGCCATAAGAGAAACTAAATATAGTACTTAGCAAAATATGTTTACAATAAACTTCAGTCAGACAGCAGAGAATGTACTGTAGAGCAGGGGTTTTCAACCTTTTAGGACATGCGCCCCCCCCAAGTTGGTCTAATTTCACTTGCGCCCTTTTTAACTTTATTAAAATTAACATAAAAGCAAATATCCATTAAAGCTAATAAAGCAGCGAACAATTTTTCTTTTGCTCTTTTTGATTAACATTATTTACATAAGAAATGCACGGATCCGTTATACTGATGTACATTTGATATTTTCTTTACTGTTTACATTCACTTAAAACAACCTACTGTGCTTACAAGCATACTTGTCAAGACAGCCATTGGTATTCACCTGCTGTCTGAGAAGGCTATCTGTTTGTGCACTTCAGATGTGTGAGCGGTGCGCATAGAAACGCTCTATCACAGTGCGTGAGTACCGAATTGAGATGTCTTGAGCCATAATGGCTTAAAATTACTTTAATGTTTAAACTGACAAGACTTAAAACACGTGAGAATGAAAAACTTTCTCGAGGAAGCAGCACTGGCCTGATCGTTAAGATAGTTTTGGGGGGCTAAGGTGACAGATAGGGGGGCTGAAACCCACCTAAAAAGGGTTCAGAACCGCCCCTGGTATAGCGTGCGTAATTATACTGAAACATAAATATATAACCAGTTTACCTGATTCAATGTGATGGCTGAGCCTGTTTCTGAGATAACAACATGCCAATCCGTGGTTGGATTTCCGACACGGCTAACCGTAAATCATCTTACACTGTCAATAAGCGTGACCAGGGTTGCCAGGTTTTCACAACAAAACCCGCCTAATTGCTACTCAAAACTAACCCAAAACTACAAAACGC